AAATAAATAGCTACGCGCACCAGAATAACCGGTGCGATCATGCGTTCTGTGCAACTCTGCCCATCGAACGATTGCCTATTAATGATTTTCACTGCTTTTTACTTTAGTCTGTGCAAAAATAGTTGAAGCGCTTAAAAACAATTAAAAATTTCACATACCTGTGTATGAAAGCTGAATTTGGAACCTTGAAGGGTGAATATATTTCCATGATTCCCGAGTCAATGATTTGCCCGTCAAAACTTTCACAAGGCCGTAGGTGTTACCCGAGAACGCGGGAACGCTGAATTTGAGTAGGCAAGGTTGAGCGTGGGCAAGGGGTCATTCCCCTAAAATTTCAGCTTCCTAGACACCGTGGTTCCCGAGAAAATAATTTACCCGTCAAAAATTTTCACGGGGGCGTATATGCTACCCAAGGGCAGGAGAAAGTTGAATTTAAATTTGTCGCGTCACACGTTGGCGGAGAACATTATACTAAAATTTCAGCCGCCTAGTTTTTGTGGTTCCCGAGTTGAAAATGCGGGACAAAATGTGAGACACACACACACACACAAACACACACAGACAACCCCCTGACAATATGCGTTTTGTAGTGCTGTTACACAGCACAAAATGCATAAAAAGAATTGACCGCATTCAGTTTCTCCGGTGTTGTTGTGGTACCAGTTGATGATTGCGGAGTTATGCAGTGCAAAAAGAGTTCGCAGATGCATTCGAGCGGCAAGTGGGCAATTGCATTCGCATTTGATTCCACCAAATTCACTATCGACGGCAAAGCTTTGTAGCTACCCTGAAAAGCACGCTTTTACAAATCAATTATTCGCACAAAATGCGACTTCATCTCTGCGCACGTCCACATCGTGAACGCTGCTGCAATTTTTTCTTGGCTGCTGCGACTAAAACCACCTCATTTTTTGGTCATTTTACCGATGATCCTAACAAACTTTTTAGATTCTTCCGCAAAGATGGTGTTATATAGGCATATATGATTTCTGCGACTGGCAAAAGAAGATAAACTTTGGTAGGCTTTTCATCGCCGCGTTTTTCACGCGCTTATTGCATCTTTGCAATGCAGAAAACGCATATTGACG